CTTTCCAGCAGCTGAGTGCTGAGAATGGTTGTTAAGGTCTATATATGAAAATAGACCAGGGTGAATTTATGTTCAGCTTTGTTGATCTGAAGATCATGCAGGCTTACTCCCAGCCCAAAACATGCTGCTTAGACCGTCTGCTGGTTGGTTGGAGTTATCTTCTGTATGCAGATGTGTTAATACCAGATGTTCTTTCAGGCATTATTTACCCTTACAGTTATTTTAGCAAATTAGCAAAGAATTGTGGAGCTTAATGTTTTGATTTCTGATGTTTGACCACTTAAGACAAAAATACTATTGGGCAATTGTCAACCTCATGTATAAATTTAACTAATTCACGCTGGGTGTTTTTAGCCAGGATTTTCTAAAATGCTTCTGGAAGAAGAGTGAATATTCTTAACTGAGTTTTGGAGATGAAGAAGTAGAGGTATAGAAAATGAAGCTACAGTTGTCATATATGCAAAGTCACTCCACTGAAATCATGGGAGCGCTTGCACAATCCAGTATTAGTGTCAGAGGGTGACTTTAAGTGACTTTTTGCACAGGAGGTCCCTGACACAGCTGGTAGCGGAAGGAATTTAGGGTGCCCTTATTTTAACTAGAAGACTGTCTTTCTCCAAATGTGTAAGTGGAAAAATATATGGTGTTTGTTTTCCATATGCAGGTAAATTTAGTGTAACCTTGTACATAAAAAATTAGGTGGTATGCATGTAGACCCATGCCATGGGCACATATGCACTTATATCTGAAGATCTGCTCCTAATTTGATGTGTGTGGCTCTGCAAACGATTTCATTTTGTTAAACTCTGTACCTGTAGCACTAGCATTAGTGGTTTTTTTGGAAGTATCTCCCCCAGGGGTCTGCAGTGCAGCATGTCCATGGTGATCAGCCTTTGCTGCTACAGGGCCAAGCATTCTGCTGGCTTAGGGTGGAATATAATTAGCTTTTTGGGTAACAGCTTTCTGAGAAGGCAAGGTAGATTTTACTGGTATCTGAGGATAAAGAGTATGCTACAAACATCCAGATTATCTTGGAATATCACAAGCAACGGGTTTGTGCTGTGTGTAGTAGGCAAACAATTGCATAATTACTGCTTACGTTTATGTTAAGGAAATTTATTCATGATTAATTATGCTTATCTTTCTGCTAGACACCTGCCAAATGATTTATAGCTACGCATATGATCTGCCTTTGCTTTTTTTTTTTGTTACTGTTTAAAGTGTTTAGGATTATTTTAATTGCATTGTGTATTTTAAATGGAGAGAGCTGCCCAGGTGTCCTTGTCAGCATTCCCTTCTCATACAAAAAAAGTAGGTCAGATTTACCTGTGATGGGAAAGGTCACAGCTCCCAGTGAACTCAGGAGGAATTTAATTGATGTATGACAAGGCTGGAATCATGTCTCAGGTTTAGATCAATTTAAGTTATTTTTTTTTCCTAAGTTCAGTAATAAATACCGTATAATTTCATGTTGGAGCAGAGCCAGATAGAACTTTCCTAAACCACAGAAATGGTGTAGAATGACTGAAGAAACCTCATGTCCCGTGCAAACTTGCAGAAAGAGCAACTAGTCCTTTCTCTGCCAGGGCAATGTGTGTCACTCGGGAACATCTACCTCGGAATGCACATCTTGTGGTTGTCTGAGCAGTGTCTGGAAAACAGGAGAAGCTTCCCAGAGGCTTTTTTCCCCTCCCTAGCTAAGCAAGGAGTAGATTGGGATTTGGCTGCTGGATATTTCATTGACATTGAAAATGAAATTAAATTTTGAACGCTTCAGAAATAAGATCTTTATTTGTCAGCTGCGTGCTTATTTATTTATTTATAACACTTTGACACTATAGTTGAAAGCCGTGTTTTCAGCAGGTATGTAGGTTTCTAAAGTAAGTTTGTTATTTAAAACCAGTTTTATTTAATCCTCTCATTAAGAGAATTAGCAGTGGATTAGATAATGTAAATTCGTTGTTATCACTAGAAAACTTGCGCGTGGCTTTTTCAAGGCTGCCTGTGTATTCCCAGCCGTTACAACTAATGTGTGATATCCTTGTTTTTTCTGAATAAGATTCCATACAAACACCAAACAAAATTAAAAGGATGCTTGTGACTAATCCTTCAAATATTCAAACCCAACACCTCATTATTTGATTTCATGAGAATCTATTAGTGCAGACTATTAATTGGCTAGGCCTGTATTATAAAGGATATTGAATAAATCCAGATAATCAGTTTTGGAAAAGCAAGATATTTTTCAGAGTAAAACACATATCTTGAACCATATTTAAACAATTGCATGAATCTAATCCTAACTAGTCTTGGTGAAGTCAATTTTTAAAATGTAAGTTTTATTGTTTTTTTCCATTTTTCCTGTCTGCTTGCCAGTTTACAGCTAGCCACGCTGACACATTTGGGAGCTGAGATATACTGTAACTAAATTTAATGTGAAGTGTTGGTGGCCTTCATAATGTAATTTATTCATGTTTCTGTAGATAGCATATGTTGCCTGTGCAATAATTTTTTATCGTATCAGGACAGAACAGCGACTGTTCCAAATTGTGTTATACAAACCTAGATATACAGACAAATTTGTACTGAGCTTTGCTGTGGTGTAAATCAGTGGACTCTATTGAGCTCAGCTGGGGTGGGTGAGATTAGAATCAGTCTCATGGTGTCTAATTTATTTCTATTTTTTTCTGACTTAATGCAATCTCTGTTCTTGCTCCTTGGGGAGCGTCAGACAGTTATCTTTGTAGTCTTGCCCAAAGAATGAACATATGTGAAACCCCTTGTTTTGGGCAGGAGGCCGTTCCTCCCAGGGATGTGTTGCTGTTTGCTGCCCCTTTGAATGCTGAGATGAAGGCAGGGTATTGTGAAAGCAGCTGATGAGCGCTACTGGTGCTTCATTAAAAACCTCGGCATCTTTATCAGCCGTTATCTGAGGTTTCCTTGGATTTGCCCATTTCATGCTCCTACCTATTTAAGATGTGTTGTTTTTACAGCATTCTTCTGGATCTGGAGAGCTGCCCACCAATTCAGATGAGTGTTGTCCGCGCAGGGCTGGGCACGCTGGCCCCTCTCCAGTACTCAAATCTGAGCAACCGAATGATTTCTTTGCTTGTTTTGCATTTCTGGATGTGAACAGTGTTGGAGCCAATGTCACTAATTCCTTCTCAATTCCCTCGACAGGAAGTTGGTGACTCTGTTTTCTGACTGTCATAGATGGTAACTGCAATGCTGAAGGCACTGGGCGAGTCGCTCCTCCTCAGCTCTTCTATGTGAGGTGAGCAGCCCTCTAGACAGGCAAAAAAAATTAATTGTGGGATGTCTGAGGGCCCTCCTTTTCCTCCGCCAAGGACTTCCCTACTGTGTTTGCACTGAGGAGGAGTGAGGTCCTCTCCATCTCATTTCTGAAGGATGCTCAAGACTTCTGCACTTCACTTGTGCTTCATAAAAGGCCACTTTTGCTCTGTGTTCCATTGTCCAGGTGTCAGGACTCAGCGTGTTGCATTCTGAATTAAATGTGAATTCTGAATTAAATTAACCTGGAAGATGTGAGCAAAGCAATAAATCTGTTCCCTTGCCTGCATGACTGTATTGGTCAACTTGATGGGTTTTCAGGTCTTACCTGAAGTGCTACTCATCTGAAATGCAAGACTGAACTAAACCAGATAACAGATACAATATTGTGTCTTCCACTGTAGTTAGTCAGTATCTGATTAAATATAATTGCATGAATTTATCATGATAGAAACTGTTTCTGAGTAATTCAAATACAGCTTGAAATTAAAAGTTTTAGTATATTCAATATGTACTATTTTCAGGTTTATCTTCAGTTTCTTATCAAGAATGATGCTGTGTATTATGTGTTACGGCAATGTTGCTTTTCATAAGGTTAGGAATGTAATGGAGTTTTCTGGAATAAACTTTTAATAACTGATAATTTTAATGAAAATCACCAAGATTATGCCAATGAAGACAGGTGTTATTGCTCTCCTTTTGCTAATATGAATGTGACTTTTCACCTATAAATGTAGGATTAATCACTAATAAGAACTATGTTGAGAATTTAAACATAGTATAAATACAAATGTTATTACATAAGAAAACATGAATATGTAAATTTACATCAGAAACTAGCTCTTGTTTGATGTGGCACATACCATTAACATTTTTTGAGACTTCAAAACTGTTCCCACTTGAATGTGGATGAATCCAAAATAACTTAAAACTCATGTAAAATCTGCTGAAAGAAGTGGCTGGTTGGTCTACTTTTGGGATGAGAGAAACAGAGATTTGAATTACTGTGCTGAATCAGAAGGTCTAAGATCTTGTTTTGTTGTATGCTTTTCTTAATGCCTTGTTTTGGAGCTTTTCCGTGGTATATAAACAGTGTGGATGTTCGCTGTAGCAGATACTTAGAAGTTGGGACATTCCTCCTTGTTTCTAGAGCTGCACAGTGATTATTTTAATAAGTTTTACAGTGTAAAACTGCTCCAGCAACAGGACTTGATCCATTCCTATCTCCATCACAACATGCTTTGGTGTTCATCTGAAGTGTTGGAGAGCTTAATTAAAATCCCTTAGTCAGAGAGACCTCTCTGGGGTAACCGGTAATAGAGAAAGGTCACAGACAGTTGCCAGATCCCTTACCATTTATTTGCATGAGTAGGTTTCTGTTTAAGAACCTGCTAAAAGCATTTATGGTGGCTGGCTCTGTAGGATGGGACTGCAGGTCTTCTGGGAGCTGACCCTCTCCTCTCTCTTTCCCCTGCCTTTTTTCCACCTCTCTTTCTCTCCAAGTGAAACCTCCAAAACAGACTTGTCCTCAGTGAATCCAGCACACAGGGACTATGAAATGCACAGTGGCCACCAGATTGCCCATAGGCTGAGCCTGCTACCTTGGTGTTTTAAGTACTTTAGCAAGTTTTTCCCTTTTTTTTTGTTTTCATTTTTGTTTTTTTGTTAATTCTAGGACCAAGAAGACAAGAGACTGAATTATCTGAATTATGCTTCTACAACAGAACTGGGTTTCTCCTCACTGGGCATGGCAGAGCCTGGCGAAGTCCTTCCTTTTGTTTGTTTTCTTAATGTCACAAACAGCTGATCTGGAAGCCAGGAGAGGTCATCAGTTTGTCTGGAAAACAGGTAGGAAAAAGTTATTGGCTTGTTTACTAGAGAATTCCTGCATTTGAGGATGGAGTAATTGCCCTTTCTCCATTCTGTTTTAGTTCAATAATAATTTTTTAAAGCCTAAGAATGTCTTCTATTTTTTTTTTTGTAACTGAAAAATAGGGGGGTTTCAGATGTGTTTTAGATTAGTGATCTTCATGTCTGTTGCAGTTATGCACCAGAGTGACTCTAGAGTATAATTCTGACTCCTCAATGTTTTTAATCCAAGAGTAAAATTTTTACTGGATCCTGATATCATCATCCTAATGTTGAAATAGTGAAATATTTCATGTGAAATATTTAATAATTTTCTTTTCATGTTTGAATGAAAAGGGCACACCAGCTTCTTTCAGGATGAACTGAGCCAGAAGTCCATACTCTTCTAAATCAATTAATAATTAACATTTCATTGATATATTTAGTGAACTATTTCTGCCCTTCAGTTAGATTGGATACATGCAGTGTTTGAATGTTCAAAATTGGGTGTGCACAACGTTTGGAAACTTTTGTGAAGGTGCATTGATAGCAATTCGTAGTGACAGGGAAGAGGTAGATAGGAGCTAAGCATGACACATGTTTATTTTGTAGCACAACACAACAACAAACAATATTCAATGAAATGGAAAGATTGGCAAATTTAGGAAATGTTTACTCAATGTACCTCACTAAAAATATGCAACTGAACCAGGGATTTCATTGCCCAGGATCCCTTTGAGGTTTGTCCTTTTATGAGTGAGCAACAGAGCAATTAAATTTGATGGAAAAATAATTTTCCTCCCTTTTTTTTTTTTTTTTTTTAAGAGGTTCTTTGCTGTTTTGGTTATTTGTTTTTTAATTATAATTATGTAGCAGGTAAGAGACTGAATTAGCTGAATAATAAAACAATTACCCTGTGAGGGCTCCTGTCCTTCTGGTAGGATCAGCACAAGCTTCTCACTCTGGGCACTGGGATGGGTGGCTGGGTGCTGGGGAAGTGCTGGTTAAGTACAATCTGATACTCTATTTCTCAAGACTTTTTTTTTACAATGTCTTGCATGTAAAATGAAGAGGAAATAAACAACAACATAAGCCGTCTTTCTCCAATTCGCTGTTGTTTATGTGATTTTTGAACAAGCTTTGAAAGGTAGAGTTGTTTTCTTAAGACAAATTAGACCCTTCAATGCTGTCTGTCTTCTCTTCAGTTCTGAAGTGTATTTTACCATCAGTCTTGAGGGGTGTACGCTGGAAGTCATAAAAATTTAATTTAACTTGATTCCAGCTGACAATAAAGAGTTATCGAGGCTTCAAAGGCATCTGTGGCAGATGTATTTAGAAGTGAAAAAGGGTGCTACACAGGTTTGTATGGATGTGGGCTACCATGCTCTGAAAACCCCATGATGACCTCATTGTAAAGCTCTGTCTTCCAGATGCAGAAGAAAATTGTTGTTTTTGTGACTCCCACAGTAAATTAAAAATACCTGAATTCTCAAGAATAATTTTAAAGACACTGTTAAATCCTAACAGTGCTTTGATGCGCGTTTTCTGCTTATGTAGTGACTAAAGGTAGGAAACAACTTTGAATGAAATGTTTTCTGAATTAAAATAACTTGGGAGTTTGAGCCATATTTATTGTCCTGTTTGGCAAAACCAAAGATTTTGGTTATTTTTTTCCCCTGTACTTAAATATTTTAATATTTGTAAACAAAATCTTCATTTTTTTTTGTTGGAGTATTTTGTTGAAAATTAAAGAAAAGTTAAATCTGAAATGTTTAGTCCTAGGTTGAAATGAATAGTATAGCCTCCGAAAACACTTTGTTTTGCTAAGAAACAAAGTATTATTTGTGAAGCAGTAATACTGAAGGAGCAGCATTTCTAAATCCTCAATCTTCATCTCTTGCAATTGTCCTAAGAAATAACATGATGAGCTGAGATTTCTCTTAGTTCTTAGAATGGATACTTTTTTGGGGGAAAAATCTTGTTTAAAAGGAAGTGAGTGTCTTTTGCAGTGTCAGAGCATGGGAAATGAACTACTGGCTTTCTTTTGATAGTTCTGTATGTGTTGCAGCTTTAATTTGAGGCATTTGGAAGCATGTATAGCAAAATAAAATTGCAGTGACCTTGAAATAAGCAGTAAATAGCAGTCTGCTGTCAGGGTGGCATGTGTGTCTTGCTTTTGTGTGCATTTTTAAAAAAATTGCTTGTAATAGTTTTTCAGATGCGTTAATCACAAAGGTGTATCTTTCTTGCAAAAGATTACAGGGAAATCTTTTGGGAAGAGAGACATAACTTGAACAGAGCAGGTGGATCCAGAGAAGCAGAGGGGTTAACATAATCTGTTGTGGCAAGATATTAATAAAAATATACCTTTGGGATGTAGATCATGGACATCTTGGCCTAATGAGATCTGTGGCTTGTATAATAGTAATAATAATAAAAAAAATCATCCCATATTTTGAGGACTTCTGTGCCCATTACAAAAAAATAATAAGAATTAAATAAAAGCATAGCACAGTGAACCTAAAGTGAAGTAGCTTTTAATGTCAGTACTGGGCAGATCCATTCTGATAGAAAGAAAACATGCAGCTGTTGTCTTTTTTTATTTTTTTTTTTTAATGAAAGTCTAATGAGAAATGAGCAATCCCTAATGGGAAAGGAGATTATCTGTTTTGTTTTTTAATCTTGAATCGTCTGTTGCAACCATGGCAAGTTACTTACCTGCTGTAGTGAAATTCAACTTCTTACTGAAATGTCACGCTTTATAATTAAATAAGATTATGCTACGGAAAGCTCTGACTTTAAGAAAATTAATTTATATGTACTTAAAGTAAATTTTTCTTGCACACAGAAGTCCAGAGATGCATCCCTAATATGGATAGGGAGAGAAAAAAAAAAGTCATATCAGCACTGAAGTTTATAAACCAGACTTTTTTCAGCTAAATCCTTGGCTTTATGTAGACTTACACGTTTTCATGCTGGGCTTGGTGATCTTGGTATAGGTGCAGCAATGGTATTGAAATCACTGCCTCTACAAAAAACCCAGGCTCTATATTTCTAAGATTTAAGAACTTTGCAGTGTGAGGTAGATTATACATATTATTCCCTCAGCTTTTCAAAGGGCTAGCACTTGCATTTTGCTTGTATGTGGCCCATCTTAAAACCATTTATTTTTAGCTTTTGGTTTGTAGGGATGATATCTTAATGTTGAAATATCTGTACACTGTATCATTTGGTTTCAAGACATTTCTTGTCAGATACTTGTTTTGTGACCACTTGCCTAAACATGAAAGCAGTAATTATACCAATTAAATTTACTCAGCAACCTCAAATAGCAGAATAATTTTCTAGCACTTGCTAACTAACAAAGCTGTTTTAGTGATACAATCTTGAGAAAATTTAATTGGATCTAAATCCTTGTAAATTAATAGTGTTTAATGCAATAGCCAGTTAGCAATTTGCATATTTCACCACGTTGATTTTCTTCAACTCCTGAATGGTCCTAAAAGTGCCTATAATGCAAATAACTCTGTATTTTGATGATGACCATTCAAGCTTTTAAAAGCGTAAATAGAATATTGATACACAAATGAATCCACATGAATCCAGTCGGTTTATTTTTTGATGAAACTCTATAATTTAGTTCTAAAGTCTATATTAAGTCTAAAATATGTGCAGCACAGGAAATATTTTAGATGCTTTACCGGAGAGGGGCTGATAATTAGGATTACAAAATGATGAAAACATGACCATTCCAAGAGACACCTGCATTGCTGCACAGGCAGGTTGCAGTTTCATCACTGCTGGTGTCTTCAGCTCCTCCATAAACTATACCTCAGTAACCATGCATGTGCTATTTCCCCCAAAATCCTAACAGAAATGAAAGGGATAAGGGACATACCCCATAAAGGTGGCTCTCAGAGCTAAAGCAGTGATGTAGCTTTTTTAAAAAAATATTTGAAATATAAAAAAAAATATTTTTCTAGGGTGAAAATGTTCTGTTTTTTTAGGAAAATAGTTCTCTAATTTTAGTAAAATGCTATTTAACATGGAAATAATACTCTGTGTACTATGGCAGGGAAGATGCAGACTATTAGAAACCTAGATGTGGTGTCCCAGTGAGTTCTCCATCTGTAATTCTCTCCAAAAAATGAATCAGGATGGGGATTTAGCCCAGCAGGGACATGCTCCTTGTTATGAATGGAAAAGCACTGAAAGTGAGATATCAGACTGGGAAATGGATTTGTAATACAGCTGATCACAGTAGAGAGATTTTACCTAAGGATGAAACCATTAAGCTGGTGTTTGTGGGCTTCTGGGAGCTAGATGTGGTGAGCCATAAGTTTTCTTGCCCCAGGTGAACGTAAAAAAATCTTCAGTTCAGAGTTATTACCCCTATTTGAAAGTTATTCTTAAAATAGGGTTGCAAATGGGGTTTGATCATTAGTCTTTCTTCAGAAACAATCCATAATGGAAAGGGTACAAAATGAACTTTTCAGAGAACAACTTCTAACGTGGAGGAACCTTTGAACTACTTGTGAATGTGGATGAGCCCGTTATGGCTAAGATGAAAAAGATCTTTTGTTCCCTGTTCTCAGATAATACTGCCACAAAATGCCCTTTCTCGGGATCTTAATTTCAGGAAAGCCAAGTGCTGGTTTGGAAGTGCCTTTGACCTTATGTCTTAAAAGACAAACTTTTACCTATGTACACCAGATGTTAAAAGGAGTCCAGATCTTCAAAGGACAGTAGAGCTCAAACCTACTGCAAAGAGTTTCAAAGCTAGCTATACAACAAGTGATGTTTTTCAAAAAAGCTCTACAAGGTGAAGAACGATAATCTATTCCAGATTAAGTATTTCTTTATTTGATAGGACAGTGATTCATGAATGAAGTGCAAATATCTTTTTAGTGATCTTTGTGTGGTATCTGGAAGCTTTATGATATTTCTTGGACTGTTGGGCACTTCGAAGTGTCTTATTTTGTGGCAAAATATTCTAATTG